CACAGCAGACCTTACGTGGCCTTTTATGACCTAACATCAGAAGTATACCCAGTTTTTGTATACATAAGTGGGTGATAACAAATAGCAGGAGATGATTTTTTTTTCAATTGATGAAACATCTTTTATTTGTCATCAATCAGAATTCATATATTTTGATCTTTTAAAAATTGTAGTCTAACTGTTATTTCGCTGACAAGCATAAGGTTGGAATTCCCTGTGGTAATGACAATGGATTTACAGTCTGTTCAAGTTTTTCATAACAAGTACCTCCTAATAGTAACGATGTTTTTCCCTAAACATACACAGATGTTGATTTACTCATCTTAATAAGCATTATTTGGGATTCTAATTATTAGTAGTAAACTTTTTTTTTTGAGATTTTATTTAATTATTTGACAGAGAGAGACAGCGAGGGCAGCATGAACACAAGCAGGGGGATTGGGAGAGGGAAAGCAGGCTTCCCACTGAGCAGGGAGCCCAATGTGGGACTCAATCCCACGACCCTGGGATCATGACCTGAGCCGAAGGCAGATGCTCAATGACCGAGTCACCTTGGCGCCCCGGTAGTAAACTATTTTTAATATCAGTTTTCTGAAAGGTAAATTTTTGCTTCAAATCTGTAAACTTTGTTGGTAGATGTTAAAATAGGTTCAGAGGGATAATGAAATGAGTATCCTGGGATAGTAAAAGTGCCTGAAAAGGCGAGAGAGAGGACGACTTTGATATCTGACCTTGGAGACAGCCTATTTGAAGAAGTCCTCATACAGGTACAGCCAGCCCATGATGACTTCTCAAGGAGAGACATAGTGGAATAAAATATCCTGATATCATTTTTCTCCCCCCTGTGATATTGTGACACTATTGTATTCTTTGAAAGAGGCACCTTTTCTATCTCTTTTGCTTCATTGGTTGACAGTATTGATAATTTCTATGTTTGTTGATAAAAATGAGTTGATTCAATAATTGCATAAGGTCAGATCCATTATACTACTATCTTTTGTGTTATGGTTGTCATATATTTTTACTGCTACATGGGAACTTAACAAATAAGAAAAAAAGCCCTTTTTATTTACCTACATGTTCACCATTTCTGGTACTTTTCATCCTTTCCTGTAGTTCTAAGTTTCCATCTGGTATCATTTCACTGCAGCCTGAAGAACTTCCTTTAATATTTTCTGTATTGCATATCTGCTATGTTGGTTTTTAAAAAATGGCTGCGCATTCTTTGACACTTTTTCCACTAAGATACTGAGTCTTTATCCCCTCCTCTTGAATCTGGGTAGGTTAGTGATTTCTTTGACCTATACTGAACAGCAGAAATGAAACACTATGACTTCTGACGTTAGGTCATAAAAGACTGTGAAGTTCCTGCTATTCATTTGAACACTTGGTCTTAGGGCTCTGAGACACCATGTGAGAAGACTGCCATGCTGGAGAGGCCACATTCTGGTCAACAGAGTCAGCCAAACCCAGTGGTCTAGTCATCCCTGTTATGGTGCCAGATATGTGAGTGAAGCTGTCTTGAATCCTCCAGACTTCTCATTTACCAGGTGAATACCCCAAGTAGCTTCTCTTGATACCACAAGGAATGTACAGATCACCAAACTGAAACTTGTCCAAATTCCTGATTTTCATAATCATGAGCTATAATAAAATTATTGTTTTAAGCAACTATTTTTTTGAGCAGTTACATAGTATTAGATAAATGGAGCAAAATTTGGGGTGCTGTTGTAGCAAAAATCTAAAGCATGGCACTGGCTTTGGGACAAGATGTGAGGCAGAAGTTGACAGGGCTTTGAGAAGACTGTTAATGGGATCCTGACAGTCATTGAGGAGGATGTCAACGAGAGCTTAAAAAATAAAGAAAATGTTTTTTGGAAGCTGAAGGAAAGGAGGATCTTGTTCTGTTATGGCAGATGGTTTAGCAAATGTGATAACATGGATAATCATAAAATACATTTAATGAACTGATAGATCTGGCTTAGGAGACTTCCAGACAGACTGCTGGAAGTTATATTTTATTTATTTGTTTTAAAATTATGTATCATAGGGTATGGATAGACAGAGCTTGTTAAAGAAGGACTTATTCAACTTTCAAACAGAATTTAGAGGAACTATATAGGAACAAGATCTGAAAATGAAACTATTTCTTATCCTTAGTTTCTCCCAGCAGAACATACTCAAAGAAAGAGCCACAGAATGAAGATCAAATTCAAGGCTCTGTTAGAAAATCATGGGCTCAAGGTAAAGATGAGGCCGAGGATGTGATTGTAAAACCTTTGGTTATGAGTTCAGAAAGAGAAAAAAGCCTTGTAAGGTTCTTAAGGGGTTGTAGTATAGACACTCTCTCCCAAACAGTAAGGCCTCTCAGATTCTTAAGGTTATTATCCCACAGTAGCTTCATAGGGGGCCTAGGGTAGAACAGGGCTTATCTAGAAGATATTTGTAGATTTGGCTTTTAATATTCAAAAAATCCAAAATTTTAAAAGTAATAATGTCAGTTTACACTGAAAGCAGAGAGCCCGATGCGGGGCTCGATCCCAGGACCCTGGGATCATGACCCGAGCCGAAGGCAGAGGCTTTAATCCACTGAGCCACCCAGGCGCCCCCAAAATCTTTTTTTTTGAAGATTTTATTTATTTATTTGACAGAGATCACAGTAGGTGGGGGGGGGGGGGCATGGGAAGCAGGCTCCCCGCTGAGCAGAGAACCCGATGTGGGGCTCAATCCCAGGACCCCAGGATCATGACCTGAGCGGAGGGCAGAGGCTTTAACCCACTGAGCCACCCAGGCACCCCTCAAAATCTTTCTTGATTGTAGCTTTTCAAACAGAAGAATTTGTGCTGATTTTAAATGTTAGAGCATTGACAAAGATGAAAATATGTTTGCTTTGGCTGTGGTTCAGCAGCAATAATCGCAGTCATTTTGCATGTACTGCTTACCCTTTATGCCTATAGCACTGTTATTTTTCAAATAATTAAATATCACTAAATCATTTAATTATAATATTAAACTGTTGATATGCTCAACATGTACAGCTTTTCTTTTATGTGTTATAAGAGTTATCTGCTTATATAGCTTAGTTGTTTACTCATACTCTAAGAATGAAATAGAAAATGGGAGTCACCCTAAGCAAGCATGCTTATGGTAATTATCTTTAGTTTTTCTTCCTCTTTGACTGGATCAATATCTGAGATCTGATATATCAATATCTGAGAACAATATCTCAGATATTAAGTCAACTATAATAATAACAAAAAGCTACTTTAAAGGATAAATCAAAGATTACTTGCTAAATTGGGGTCAAATGTTTCTTTTGCTACAAAGAAGTTTGACATTCCTACTTTAATTTGCTTTATTTGTCCTTTATCCCCTTCTGATTGAGGCCAGGGTTTTAAAATCACTTTTCCTCTCCCCATAAGGTTGAGTTAGGGTTTTTGGCATTTTTATTAAAAATACATTCTGGGGGTTCCTGGGTGGCTCAATCAGCTAAGTGTTTGCCTTCAGCTCAGGTCATGATCCTGGGGTCCTGGGATTGAGGCCCACATCAGGCTCCCTGTTCAGCAGGGAGTCGGCTCCTCCCTCTCCCTCTGCTCCTCCTCCCCCATTGTGCTCTCTCTCTCAAATAAATAAAAAATCTAAAATAAATAAATAAAAAACAATTCTGATTATTTCTTCATGTCTTTCACTTCTTCCCCCCTCCCCCGACCCGCTCCAGTATTCCAATTTTTCTAAGAGTGTTTAAGGTTGTAAAGAATTTTCCATACCCTCACCTTCACATCCTGCAGATAATCTAATTTAATTATTTTTCACCCCTTTTCTACCCACTGTTTGGTCAGCAGGGGAAATTGTTTCTATCTGCCAACCAACCACTACTGTAACAATAAGCTACCTATTATCCTTAAAATCCAACCATCTTGGGGTCCAGAAGGCATACTTAAATTCTATTACATGTAAGGCCATTATTGATAGGAGCAACTGCCCAAATAAATAATTTAAAAGAAACGATCTAGAAAGTTCATTAGTAACAGAGAATCTGGGAGACGTGCCTCTGTATGAAAGAGGTAGAAAACAATATATTTTTTATTAGCATGTTCAAGGCAGTCAAGATTTTAACAAACATCTTAATCCTCACAACAACCCTGTGAGGTAGGTAAAAGTCACTGTTTTGTGATAAGCTAGTATTATTCCAAATAAAGTGCAATTCTTAAAAGAATAACCTGCATTAGGAATAATTATGCTAATGAGCCACGTTTATATACTAATATTTGTTTTTGTATACTTTGATTCATGCAATAAGGTGTCCCCATAAAAATTCACTGTAAATCACTGTAAAAACATGTGGGGGACTATTTAAATAAACTCTGGGGTAGATTTTTTTTTTGTAAAATAAATCACTATTTTTTATCTTATACAAGACATAATTTTCACAGTATTCGCTCAAAGTGAGGCATTCTCAGCATTGTTAAACTCACATTTATTCTTTTGTAAGTTATTTCAACATGGCACCAAGCCAATGTAAGATTTAATTTCCTGAATTAAATCTTACCAATTTGGTATATGGCAGTGAACTGTGTTGTCATGTAGACATCTCCAAGTATACTGCATGCAGCCCCAACCCAAAATCTAAGATGGACTGTTTATTGAAATTAAATACTAAAGTAAATGTTGATAAACTGCAAAAAGTATTTTCCCTTGAAGAGATTACTTAATTTTTTTCCTTAAAAAAGGAAGAAAGATCTTAAGGTTTTGAAAACAATTTCTGATAACTATAAAATTCTAGTGATTTGTATTGCAAATCAAACCCTCATGCTATCAGTTTACTACTTATAAGGAAGCCAGCAGTTTGTTACTCCAAAAGTTTAGGGTTTTTTTTCCCTGTGAAAATATGATTTAAGAGCAAAAAAAATATATTCTAGGCACCATTTTCTCTTAAATATATATTTAAAGTATATTTCTATCGTTAATCCAGCATTAGTAAGCATCCTATTGCCTGATATTTATAGTTGTCTTATCTTCAGAACAGATTTTTATTAGAGAATTTCCATTACATTTAATTATGTTAGATTAGTTATATATTTTATTTGTAACAATAACTTTAAGCTTGCAAGTTTTAGTTAACACTTAAAATCAGTTAATACTTAAAATCTGGCAGGTTTATAATACTTCAGAGCAAGTGGTTAAAGTAATTTGCCATTATAGAGAAATAATTTAAGCCCAGAAAAACATTCTCACCAAAGTATTTTTAAAAACTGCTATTAGGCTAATCAATGAGTAAAAAAGATTAAGCCATCTATAAGTTCGACATTCAAATCCATACTAGATCCAACAGTGCACTTTGGATTTTAGTGAGGTAGGGCAAAAAATATAGTCAAATACATTTTGAACTGTTAAATTTATATAAACTGAAATACTGATTTGTACCCAGGTTTTATTTGAATATCCAAAAAGAAAAACCGAGAATTCAAATGATGAAGTATTTTCTTGCTTTCAAGGACAGAACTATAAAAATCTTTTGAGTATGCATAATTAAAAAATACAAAGGCTACAAGATATATTTATTTCAACATAAAGTATGCTTATATAAAAATTACCCAGGACATAGAAAAAAGAAATACAAATATTTTTGCATAGATTCTCCATATATAATATTTACCTGGGGCTAAACACTGGAAAATACACCTCTGAAACTAGTATAGTTCAACTATTTCCTTGGATACCAAGTATATACAAAATAAAAGTCCTTCATCTTGGGGGGAGCATGGGCAGGAGGGAAAACAATTTAATTTAGCATCAGTCTATATTTATTTCTCTGTTGCTCGAATATAAACCAATGATGACAAGAGGAGAAACTCTGGGGGTTTATTTAACAAAATTAAATTCACATTTCTGAGTCCATCGTAGTGCATCCAATGTCCATCAATCTGGAAAGCTGCAGAATAATGATGTTCCTCTTTGTTAAATAATGTGGCACCTTCCAACAAATACCTGCAAATTAAATGACAAAGTGTAGCAAAAAAGACAAAACTTTGTTTTTAAACATTTCTTAAGTGTTTTTTTTTTTTTTTTTTTTAAGTAGGCTTCACATCCAGAGTGGAACATAGGGCTTGAACTAACAACCCTGAGATCAAGACCTGAGCTGAGATCAAGAGTTGGAAGCTTAACCAACCGAACCACCAAAATGCTCCTTAAATTTTTAATTAAGGAATAAAAATATTGCTGTTATTTATATTCCGGTACCTAAAAAGATATCTGTCAGTAAAAAGCACATACTATAATTGGTAATTTGGAGTAAAATATTTAAGAATTTAAAAACTGATATAATTTAAGAATTTTGAAAAATATTTTAACAATCTGTATCATTCTATTAAATGATATCGTATCATTCTATTAAATAAGAGAAAACCTTTTAAAGGCAAAACGTTAAAAGACCCTATATGTCCTAACTTGTATGCAACAGAGATTTTTATCTCTAATGCTGAAAGTAATATTTTTTGTTTAAACGATGACCTCCTACTATATACTATTTTGACTTGAAATACAAGTAATAGCCAGTCGTTACTGTTTACTATGTGTCAGGTACCAACCTAAACACTTTATATGTGTTATCTCATTAAATCTCACAATAATGTACCAGATAAATATTATCATCTCTGTTTATAAAATCAAGAAACTGATGTTTCTGGTTAAGTTAGGTTAAGTTAGGACCCAAGGTTACATAGCTTGTAAAAGGTGGGGCTGAGATTTGATTCAATTCTGTCTATTCCATAGTCCAACTATTATGCACATTGCCAGAGACTAACCCCCTGTAGTAGATTCTAACCTTATTCGGGGTACAGAATAATAGTTAGCTATGATTCTTTTCAATGATATTTTCTTTTTTTTTTTTAAAGATTTTTATTTATTTATTTGACAGAGAGAGATCACAAGTAGGCAGAGAGGCAGGCAGAGAGAGAGGAAGGGAAGCAGGCTCCCTGGTGAGAAGAGAGCCCGATGCGGGACTCGATCCCAAGACCCTGAGATCATGACCTGAGCCGAAGGCAGCGGCTTAACCCACTGAGCCACCCAGGCGCCCTCAATGGTATTTTCTTAAGGGCTAGTCACAGTCATGATAGAACAGCAGTAAAATAGAAAATAAATTTACTTTTTATTAGTTTTATAAAACATACAAAAAAATACTTACTTGTGATCAGATAAATCCAAGTAATATGGTACATATGCCAGATCTTCAGATTTCCAATGCTGCATATTTAAGACAACAAAAGGGGGTGCCCCATGGCAGAAAACTCGCTGGGAAAATTCTCTTAAGCCACCACAGCTAAAATCGAAAAGAGACATGAACTTTATTACACTTGAAACAAAACTGCCTTTTATCACTTCTGGGTTGTCTTTATTAATTTCATAATAAGTATAATTATCTATTTTAGGTGTGGGTAATGGTGTGGCTATATTAGTATTTTTATTATCTATACCCAGAAGCTTATAAGCTGTGAGATTCTATATAAAAGAAATAATACTTGCAAAACTCCAGGAAAAGCTAGCTATTTTTTTTAAGCTTACAAAATATTTAGTTTTTTGAACTGATATAAAAGCTTTTATATGTCTATACATTTTTCCCCCCTTGGTTGGTTTCAAATGATAATACTGGCAGAGAGGTAAATAGTAGGACTCTTCTAGTCCTCTTTATATTGTATAAAATTCCCTAATTGCATCTTTTTTTTTTTTTAAAGATTTTATGTATTTATTTGACATGCAGAGATAGAGACAGTGAGAGACGGAATACAAACAGAGGGACTGGGAGAGAGAGAAGCCGGCTTCCCCTTGAGCAGGTAGCAAATTGGATGCAGGGCTCAATCCCAGGACACCAGGATCATGACCTGAGCTAAAGGCAGATGTTTAAAGACTGAGCCACCCAGGTGCCCCTAATGGCATCTTTTTGCCGTGAGGATGAGACAAATTCTGTTTTCTTAGTAGTCTCACATATTAAGGATTTGGATCAGAATACCACAAATCAGAATACCACAAATACAGTAAAATCTCGATTAACCGGAATACTCAGGACACAGTATTTTGCTTCATAAACGTTACTGATTAAAGCATTAACTAGAAAACCATTTTGTTTCAGTATTTCCTGTTAAAATACATTAGATTACTTTCTGGACTTAAGTACAATTAACTGAATATATTTTATTCTTCCTTCCTTTTGTGATTAATTAGCTGTAAGGTCATCCTTCTAAATCTTAATTCTCATTATACAATACTGTAGATATAGAAATTGTTAAGAGACTGGGATGAATATGTTCTCTGCCCCTTTTGAATTTTTTTTAAAACTAAGTTAAATTTTTTGGTTGCCATTTACCTCTTTCTCCTAAATGAGGAATGCAGAAAAAAATCCAGTTAATTGGGAGTCCGATTAGCTGGGTTCCGGTTAACCAAGGTTTTATTGTACCTGCTCAGCAGTGGGGAAAAAAAGAAAAGGCATTTGCTTTGTATTCATTAATTAACTGTAGTATGATATTCTATATAGTGAAATTTTATAATGACAACATAGCATAAGATGGCATAGTAAACTACTGTAGGTGTTAAGATTCCAAAAACATTAGGCTTCCAACTCACAAATACTTGTGAGTTGCTATTTCCTAAAGTATTGACATCAAAGAGCCTATCTGCTCAGGTTTCTTTATAAAAAACACAAACACTTTCATCTTAAACGTCTATCATATACTCACCCACTCTCTTCACACAGTTCAATCCTGGAACAGAATAACTCATCCACAGCCAGTCGTATCAAATTTCCATGAGGAATTTCTTGGGGAGGACTACAACAATTACAAAATGTATGTAAGAATTGCTTTGGAAATTTACATGTTAAATATTTATTAGAATAACCAATTTTATAGGTCAATTCGTTATTAGCAAATCAAGTATAAAATTATAACCTGTTTTTCATCTTTTTATTTGTTATAATTATAGCAATCAGTTGAACTTAATAAACATTAATGCATGAAGTTTTCCAAGAAACATTAAATCTTTCTTGAACTCTTCCTGAAATATGCAGTTGTTACTTAAAAAATTTTTTGAGAGGTTTTGGTAGAGGGGATTGTGGTCTTGGGGAAGAAAGGAGGACCCAGAATTAGGAGAGCTGCCGATTAGGTACATGACTAAATGCAAATTACAGCCATTGTTGGCTACTATTACTTGATTAGTTAAAAAATGTCTTCCTACATACTTCAGAGATTGTTTTAAATGTAGGATTGAAATAGAGGCAAAAGCCTTAAAAATTTATATATATATATATATATATATATATATATATATATATATATATTCAGTATGATGAAAAATATTTTAAGAGCTTAAAATATTAGCATTAATATTGGATTATAAATATCTAATTATAGTTTCAGAATATACACAAATTGATACTAGTTTTTGAAAAACAAAACAGATTTCTAAAATGCTTTTTAGTTCATTACAATTTGGAGTAATGAAACTTTTTTCCCTGACAGAGATTTCAAACTCAACGTCATCATATCAGCAATATAGGAAATGGACAAAGTGTATTTCAGAAACAAGAAACACATTAATTGACAGATTCCAAAAAGAATAAAATATCTTCAGCTTTCCATAAATAGCAAAATGTTACAATATTAAACTAAATATGTTATAAAGAAATGTGAATTTAGTAAGTTAGGGTATGTGATGTATATTCCAAAAAGGGAATATCTATTAGGCTGTTTCTATGGACCACTGGGTCAAATACATTTTCAGAAAACAATGTGTTTGGGTTTGTTTTTCAGTCCTGTTTTTCTACTGGCAGTTATCTTTTTTTCCAGCTCATGTCCTCTGGGGGCTTTAATGTTTCCCAATACTCTACTAGGCCATGCCAGTTTGGCCTTCTTCCCTATCATTTACCAGCCTGGAGGTCTGCCTTCTCTGTCAAAGCCAAAAATATTCAGCAGGCTATCAGCACCTCTCCTAGCCAGTGAAAAAGCTCCTAACATCAGTATCCTCTCCAGGTATGAAGATTCGAATTTTGGGGTTTCTGTCTATAATTATGCCCTGATCATGACATGAAGGAATACTTTCACTCTTCTTGTTCATGTAAAAACAGCTTACCCAACAGAAATCCATTCAAGAAGTGAACATTCCAATACAGGATTAAATGTTAAGAGGTTATGTTTATGAAACAAACAATTATCTACACAGTGATATTAGCAATTCAAAGCAAGAATAAAATATTTTGCATACGAATTCATTACCTTTCAAGTGAAATAGTTATCAGTTGGTTTTACAAACTCAATTCCAAGATATTTGGATTTAATAAACAATATAGTCCTGCATTTGTGGGGTCGCAATGTGTAAGTAATTACACAGGGTCTGTACTTAAGGAAATACTTTGACTATATTTATTTATAGCAACATTCATTTAAAAAGTACATTATCTCTGCTAAAATGACAGACTTCAAAGCAACTTACTTTATATTAATTGTGCGTTGCTGATCTTCCTGCACTCGAGTTGGGCATCGCCAGTTGGAACAGTAACTCTCTTGTATGGTAGACATGAGATTTTCGAGATTTTTTGTAAAATTATCATGTTCATTCCCAAATAAATCAATTATTAATGAAGCTTTATGAACTTCAGATTTGTATTGCTGTTTTTCCATCTTGTCCCAAATCCAAAGTAGCTTCACAGTTGTGAAACTGTAGGTGTCCATTAAATAAAGGAAACAGTCTACAAACTCTCTACCTAAATGAAGAGAGAGTTCCCTGGGGAAATTTTCATTTTCATTAAGAATGACATATAATAACATCAAGAATCCATCTATGGTGCAGGTGTTTTTCAGTCTAATTTCAACATAGAGTGGGGTACAGGATACTGCTTTGCGGCCAGCTTTGATAGTAAAAACACCTCCCCAAGGAAGAACAGGCCTCCAAAATGAGCGATCTTGGTTATAGTTATTTTTAATTGATGCTTTGATCTCTTCAAACAGTGTCTTCATCCTGCATTTTAAAAGTTTAAGATAGAACATGTAAATCTGTGACTTCCTATGTTAAATGCTTGAAATATGTTTAAATGAAAACAAACTTATCTAAAGATTCAAATTAGGGGTGCCTGGCTGGCTCAGTTGGTAGAACATGTGACTCCTGATCTCCTGATTTTAAGTTTGAACCCCAAGTTGGGTATAAGGATTACTTAAAAATTAAAAAAAAAAAAAAAGGATTCAAATTAAATTTGGTCAGGAGGCCTACCAATATAATGAAAAAATTTAAAACAATTCAAGCTGAGTCTTTTTTTTGGCAATGTGCATGGCCTCTGGAAAGACCATTAAGAAGTGCAATCTTTTTTGAGGTACAGGGTGAGCATTTGATAAAACTTTTATGCTAATTATATTGCAGATTTTATCTTTGATATAAGGAAGACCCTAAAATAAAAAATTCTAAATGAAAAAAGCTATTTGAAAATGCAATCCAATTTGGTTGGGTGCATTCCTAATGTAAACCTCTTTCTCCCTTCAAAATACAAGCTGTGCTTCATTTTCCTTTTAATATGCATGATTCCACTTATGAAACTGCTATAATGGAATTCTTAGTTGGGCTACAGAATAATGGCCAATTATATTTGAAAGACCACATACGAAAAGTAATCCCAGAGTACTTAACTGAAGAGTTGCACAGCTGATACAAAAATCATTTCTAAGCACTTTGGAATTTTCACTTGCAATTTACGACCATGCTGGATATTTTATAATTCTAACTATAGAGGCCATGCTGTGAGGATCTGATTCAGAACTTGGTAAAGTAATCTGATTCCCTCTCTCTGCATGTTTTGGGAATGAACTGGGGTGTCCTCCCTATTTAAATTGTTATTTATGCTTCTCCTAACCTTGATGTTAGCTAAGCAATTTGTTTTTAGTCATTGATTGTATTGTAAAAACATATTGCTGTCATGTACATTATATAAAGCAGAATTTTAAAGAATTAAAGAATGAGGTCCTTTCTAATGAAACTGAATTGAAAAGATTGCTTTACTTGGCACAATAAATGTCTAAACTAAAAACATCACAGGGTTTCTCAATGGTACTTCTATGGAAAAGTATATTTTCATGAAAAAAAGCAAAGCATCTGAGGAAGAGGAAAAGAGAAGTCACAGACTGAGGTGTCTTATTTTGACTATCTTTTCAGGTGCCACACATATCCTCCCAAGCACAACATAAATCCAATACTGAATACTGCAGACCTCCGTGTTTTATTTGTATAATAAAGTCCACATGGCATAAAGTATAGAGTTGTTGAATCACTATTCTGTACACCTAAAACTAATGTAACATTTTGTCAACTATACTTCAGTTAAAAAAAACAACCTGTTTTACACTTTAAAGAAATTAAATTCAAACCAATTTCACAATACTAGCAGACTGAAAATTCAGTTCCACAATGTATTAAACGAGGGCGTGCACGCACACAGTATTTTCGGCTTGAGGCAAGGCTGTGGACTCTAAAATATTCAACACTATATTTAGTCTTAAGTGTAGATGTTTATTCATAGTCGGTAACATGTTGTCGGCTCTAGTCAACCATTTAGGTAATCAGAAGGCGTGGCAAATCTGGAGCCTTAGGCAAACCCAAACGGTTTCTTCTTAATGTTTCTGAAGATTAAAAAAAAAAAAATCATATGGCATTCAAATACCTTTGAAAATGAAAATAACTTTCTTTATGGTTTCACTTATTTCTATTTAATTTTTAAAAACTTTGTAGCAAGGTCACAAGCCTTAGCTCAGATTTCCAAATGTTGCATTGGGAAGGAATCGTAAAATCTCTGCACTATTTTTCTTCAAATTATCTTTAAAGCATGACCAAATGAGTAACTACAGCAAGTTATACTTAGCAGAAATAAACTACAATTATATATATATATATATATAATGAAACTAACTTCTTCAGCCTGTCTTTGCGGGGGAGGAAAAGGGCAGGGGTAGAGAGGATTGAAAGAACTAGAGGACACCTACTCGTTTCAGCATTAAGGTGGTGATTTGTTATAAAGTAAATTACAACAAAAATGAGTAAAAAAGGTGGTGAAATGCCTGCAAAGAGCTTTACTTAAAATTGTCTTAAGATTTCACCACATCTTCGAAAAGACTGTTTCGTTAGGCTGTGCATTAGAAGCCCTGGAGGATATATCCTGCTGGCATCATTGTCCTGATTCAACAGGCCCTCCAGTTTAAATAAACCTGGAAAACTCCCCCGACCTCTATTTCCTTGGCAAAACGACACCTTTCTTTTGCGGTCATTTTCAAGGGTGACAATCTATACTCCACGATGGTCGTGAGAAACAGACCATTCGCCCTAGACACTGAATGCCGGGCCTCCTAAGAGCTCGGCGGTCCTAAGGATCCTCTTTCAATCAGCACCCCGAAATAATCTGAAAAACGGCCACGCGCTCCCCCTCGAAAGAGCGCGGGGCTTCGGGGTAGGGACCTGCGGGGCGCGCGCTGGGGGCCCGCCTCCGTCTCCCGCACTCCGGCCACGCCTACCCCGCCCCCCGGTCCTCTGCGCCCGCGAAGGCCTGGCACCGAGGGCTGGCCCCGCACGGCTGGCCCATCCCCGAGCCTGGAGCAGGTGAAACGGCGGGGCAACCCTGTCCGTGTCCAGGTAGTGTTCCCCTAAGCGCCTGGGACTGCGGGCGCTGGGCTAGAGGGCCGGGCCGCGAAAGGCGTTCCCACACCAGCCAGTCTCCGTCCACCAGGAAGCCGACTTCTCGTACCTCCCCGGGGACCGAAAACCGCCGGTGCCGCCGCACCCGTCGCCGCCGCCGCTTGCTCATGGAGAGCCCGTGCTGCCGCCGCCGCCGCTTCATCTACTAGCACCGTCCGCTGTCTGGGCCTCCCCGGTGTGAGTGCGGGGCTCTGGCACGGCCTCCATCGCACCCGCCGCGGCGGGAGCCACAGCAGCTCCAGCGCCCAGGCCCGATCCGACCGGACCCACGGAGCCAGGACCGCAGGACGCGTAGCTTCTTATTACGGAGGAAGATTCGGCCTGACCTCCGCCCCCCTCCCCCCAGCCCCTAGTACCCAGACGCCTAACGGCGTTGCTGCGCAGGCGCGAAGACGCCCCTGCCAAACGTGCGTGTGTCGGTGTGTATACAGCGTCCAGATTCGCCCAATAGAAACCAAAATCAGGTGCGGGGGGCGGGACCTTGCAAAGAGGGGCGGTGTTCCAGTGTTAGAGGGTGGGACGGGCAGCCGGAAGTGGGCGGGACTTGCGTGGAGGCGGAGCTTTGTTGGCAATCCAGCCTGGCTTTTTGAGGTTTGTATCCTTTTAGGACCTTGATTTTAGTTTGCTTCCAAGTCTTGTCTTCTTAAATTCTTAACTCAGAAGGGGAGAAGTTTGTTTTCCCAAGACACTTTAATTATGCAAGCTTTTAAGTATATAGTTAAGAAAAGTTGAATTAGTGGCTTAACTGCTCTCTTTAGTGTTCAAGGTAGTAATTGGTCAGGGTGCTGTAATTTACAATAGAGTTAACATTTATAGCAATTAGATAGCTTTAGTCCCATTGTAGAGATGAAAAAAAAATGAGTTTCGGAAATGTTAAAGTACCACACATTAAGTGATAGCTGTGAATTGAAGCCAGAAATGCTTAATGCTATAGTCTGTGGGCTCTATCAGTTTTCCTACTCAGTAAGCCCCAGTTCTTGTATCCTTCCTTAAAGAGTTGGAGCTCATATGGCTTAGCTCCTGGAAAACACAGACCACCCTGGAGAACTGCCTTACTCATCATTACAAATGTGGGTACTGTTGAGATATTCCCCATATGTTCAACAAATGATTGGGAAGTGAAACCCAACCTCCAGAACATGCTATACAGAGAGCTCAAGGCCAGTCCAACACATCACTGTGGTCCTCAATCACAGCTGAATCTGGTAGATCCCTCCTTGACTAGTGATGGTCAGTCAGGACTATGGCAGGGACCTTCCTCATACAACTCTCTCAAAGAGTCCCGTGATAGAGGAAAGGAGGGTAGGAGAGGGGGTTGACTTACTCAAAATAATTACTGCAGGTCATGATGGGAAGAAATGGACATCTCTCAGAGTGGGGGTGGGGGGAGAGGCTCTGGCCAAAAAGTAAGAATTAATAATTCTGGCACAGTCTGCTCTTTTCAGTTTCCTTGTTTTTCTTATTTCTTATGGCATTTCACAGATGAAGAAACCGAGGTTCTGAGAGATTATATGACTAGTGTGTCTGTGTTGGGATTTACATGCAAAGAGTTTAGTCTCAGTATTAAAACTATTCTGCAAGTAGAACACTCTTGAAAAATGTTTATACATGTGGATTATATGTTCAGTTGACCTTCTCTCACAAGATATGGGATTAATTTTATACTGATTGAGTTTTTCTCTTCCTGAAAACAGAACCCAGTTGTGGTGGTTATCACCATTTCTGGAGAATAGCAGAGAGATGGCTCATTATGCTGAGGCTTAGCTAGGAAAGGGAAGCATGGATTCTTTGGATACTTGGATAATTCACAAACGTCACTGAGGCCTTTAACTGAGATTTCCATTCTGCTGCTTCTCCGCTCCTCTTAAAATCTGACAGCTGACTTGCAGGGTTTTTTTTTTTAGACAGCTTTATTGAGGTATAATTGACATGTAATATATGGGGCATATTTGAAGTATGTAATTTGTGCAGTTTTGATGTATATATACCCCATCATCTAGTCAAGTGAATATATCCATCATCCTCAATTTTCTTGAAGCCCCGCTTTAATTTCTTCCTTGCATCCCTCCCTGCCTCCCACACCTAAGCAACCACTGATCTACTTTCTGTCATTATAGACTCATTTGCATTTCTAAAGGTTTATGTAAGTGGAATCAGACAGTATGTATCTTTTTTACTTTGGTCTGGTGTCTTTTACCTATCATTATATAGACATTTGTCCAAATTGTTGTGTGTACCAATAGTTCATTCCTTTTTGTTGCTGAGTGTATTCCATTATATGGATGTACTGCAACGTATCCACTCATCTGTTGGTAGACATTTGGGTTGTGTCTAGTTT